CCCCCCCCCCCCCCCCCCCCCCCCCCCCCCCCCCCCCCCACCCACACACACACACACACACACACACCAAGGCAAAGCACTGTCCCGGCGCTGCAGCAGTTAGAAAGAAACATGGGACCCGCAGGACGCGTCTGCTCGGTGCTGCTGGTCGTCTGTCTGCTGGGGCTCCACCACTCCTCGGGATTCTGGATCGTCAACGTGGTCTTCCCGCCAAACGCCAAATCCAGATTACCAAGCAACAGCACTCCTCCGCTCATTATCGGTAAGCGTGTAGGTAGTGTTATGGATTAAGCTACGTCATCTGTGCGGCTATTTCATTGCATATTCACAAACTTTAAAAGCTGTCTTTAAGGACCCACTGGGCAGATCAGGCAACGGAGGGGTTCCTGAACGCTCCATGCTGGCAACTGGTTTATGCCAATATAATTGAAAATCGATTTGGGCATGCGCACCACTTAAGTGCAATACCATGCTGACAGGGCTTTAACGTTTAAATACCTTCTTCTTTTTGGTTCTGTACTTGGGTTATTTGTTACTGTGCTTTTTTGTTGTTAATGAAATGATTGATGTGTGTTCCAGCATATAGATAAGTGCATGGCACAGTAGGGAGCGCATCTGTGTCTGTGTATATTGATGTCCATGCTATCTGTGGGGTTGTGCACACTGCACTATGTACATTTGACCCTGTTCTTCACCGCCGCCCGCCCCCCCCCCTTACACTTCATCCGTAGACGTTTTACTCTCTCTGGCCTTGTAGAGAGAACATGAATTTGGCCTTTTACCAATTTCTGGTCAAGACACGTCATATAACGATGTATGTCACAACCTAGACTCATGATTTGACCTTTATTTAAACATATATATATATATATCTAAGAATAAAGTCAGGGTTCTGACACTAAAATTAGAAATCGGACTTTAATTATTTCTCACAATACAATTTGAGATTCAAAAAAATAATTTAAATGGTATTCTCAATATTCTCATATGTGTCCAAAGTGTTTGTTATACGTCAATGCTTAAAAAGGCACAAGATGCCACATTAGTTTAAAATGTAGCTTGACAAATACCCAAAGAGTGACACCCCACATCTTTGGTACGATCTGGGGGAGGGTCTCCGTATAACTTTGATATGATGATGCTAAAACCCTTGACTGATATGAGCAAGGCTTCTCCAAAGGAAGAAAGAGGGAAAGCTGCCGAGTGCATTGTACTGTTACTGTAGTTAACAGTACATGTTTATAAACCTATTCCTGTTGATCAAAGAAAGACCTTGACTGTGGCTTCGATCAAACTTCAGATTTAACTAACAAGGTCGAATTAGCTATGAATTCTGGGTAAATTACTTTTTTTCAAGCTAAATAACATGGCTGAAGCAACCACGTTGAGCCGCTCACCTTCCTGGAAAGATAGTGTCTGCTTCTGGTATATGGATAGATATTGCCATAGTGTAACTGGGACTGTAATAAATAAATAAAACATGAAGAAGGTGGTACACTTAACTGTACAAGTGTGTGAAAAAAATCTCAATGTACAAACTAATATACAGTAAGTACAGCACTGCGTCAGTGAAATCAAAAGACAGTAAAAGAATGCATTATAGCAACTTGATTGTGACAATCATTCTTCACCTTTTACACACATGTACTAGGTGTTATAAAAAGGCTTGTGCACTTTCCATTGCAGTCGTCATTTAACTCAGTGTGTTTGACATTGATTCTATGCGTAAAGTATAATATTAGTAAAAAATAAACAGATTTGTCATCCGAGAGAGTAGGTGTTGTGTTACTAGGAATCCGGTTATGTTGTTTATTTGAACATTGCACCACAGGACAGTTTCTCTTCCCACTTCTTATGACTCTGTTTGCAGTCACAAGGTCATCGTCCACATCTGGGATCCACGCAGTCTACTGCGGAGGAACTCCCATGCTAGGGTTTGCACATATTGTAAAGTTGAGGAATCTTCTGCAAATATCTGACGAAACACAGTCAGAGAAAACCTGCTGTTTCGTCAAAGTAAACATTTCACCACGCACTGTACTTATTTATTTTTTAGAGCCACTGCAATGTCATACATTTTGCAAGATATTGTGCAAAATCAAAGTGGTGAATATTGGCCGGAATCTTCCGATTCAGAGTGTTATGAAGGGACAAAAGATAGGATTGTGCATACATTTCCTACTTGCGTAGCCATCCCAAAGACCTTTTGGGAACCAAAGTTGAGTTTCAACCTCAGTCCTTCTCATCGGTTTCCCTCTTATACAGTACAAGGTCAAACAAAAATGTATATTTCTCTCCAGATCTGTGCTAAATGTAATTTCTGTATGATTCCAATCATTTCAAGCAATTTTATAATCAAAATTGCTGAATTTACCAACCTTTTCAGCTGGCGACCCTCGTCACAGCTTGCTTATGTCTACCAAAGAGAGATTTTCCTCCCTCTAAAAGCTATATTTGTTTCATTTGAATACTTGATAGTGGCCTGAGGAGGAATAATTCTCCATTATTTCACAAATATTTTGAATTCTCTGTTTGATACTAACACAATTTACGAGATAGATTAAAATATGAATACGAGAATATTGTGGCATGAGGTCCAATGTCTTCTACTTCCTCCCATTCCGTTAAACGTCTTGCGACACCTCATGTACCTTGTGACCCATTCAGGGAGTTGCGACTCTCACCAATAACCTACCGTGACCTTTCAGTGCTTACCTCCCAAGTGTGATTCATTGATGTGTGTGTGTGTTTGTGTGTTTGTGTGCGTCCAGTGCCTGGGAACTTGGGGAACCGTCTGGAAGCTAAGATAGACAAGCCCACACTGGTCAGCTGGTTGTGCTACAAGAAAACCAAGCACTGGTTCCCCCTGTGGATTGACCTCAACATGTTCATGCCAATAGGTTTAGACTGCTGGATTGATAACATTAGGTAACGCTGACTGTCCTTTAATGTCTGAATTATGTACCACCTCTAAGCATTGTCTCTATACCTCTTCTTGTCTGGGTCTAAGTAGTCAGTACCAAACATTCCCTAATGTGACTACGATAATGTCTGAAAAAGAATGAAACTCCAGCTTGACCAGCCGGGACAATTATACTGGGGGAAGCACAATATTTGAGTTATTTTTCAGATTTCATTAGAGTCACATTCGCAAATGTTTTCGCCCAACTGGACTGACATGAATGTCCGTTTGCGTGCCACAGACTTGTTTACAACAGGACGACTCGGCAATCATCCAACTCACCGGGGGTGCAGGTGCGGGTGCCAGGATTCGGGCAGACATATCCCATTGAGTTTCTTGACTCCAATAAACTGGCTGGTGAGAAAAAGAAAAATGCATCTGTGCAGGTGGATTCTGTCATCTGTCCATACATTTATTTGTTGAATAATGCAGAAATGATAAAATATTTCATTAAAGCAAAATAGGAATTTGTCCAACACGCCGTATAGGCGCTGTGCTTAATTCCTATACTGGATTTCTTTGAATATCTTACATGCACTTTGGAGCTCAGCTGCTGATTCAGCTGGAATTATTGCCTAAGTCTGCTGCTTGTTTTTTTTGCAGGTTATTTTTACACTATGGTGCAACATTTGGTTAACGTGGGCTACACCCGAAATGAGACAGTCCGAGGAGCTCCGTATGATTGGAGATTAGCTCCTAGTAAGTCGCAAAACCACACATGCACCCTCACATGCACACTCACTTAGTAAGAGATTTGCACAGTATATCTAGCGTGTGTTGACTCAGCTTGTCATTTTGAAGGAATAACGTCCTGCGTAGTTGCTATTTGGGCTCCCTTTCCCGATGATATTCATGGGTTAAACAACAGAATGAAAAATAAACAAATATGCATGTGACTCATAAAGGCCCATTTTATTCAAAAACTGATTTAAAGCTCCAGTGATCATATAGTTTTCATAAAAGCTGCATCCATTTTTCTGGCCACTTGGGGGCAACGGAACAAGCTCTGAACACAACATTGACATACTGTATTATCGCCAAATGTCAAGTCGTCATGGCGCAAAGGCAAAGCGACATTAGCATTCATTTGGAATCGCGTTTGGCCTCCGGATATTTGACATAAGTGTTATGTTCACTCTCTTTAGGCCACCAGCGACTCCTGAGGAAAATGTATGAGTCTTTATGCTCCATGTGATTACCAGCTATTCGCTAACATTGTGCCTGCCAAACCCACAGATAATTAGCAACCCGACTCAACTATTAAAAGAAAACGTGTTTGCTCATTGTTTTGATTTGATAGTTGGCAGACAGCTGGTGAAGAAAGTCAAACATTTAGTAGTAAAATATGTTTTTCCCTCAGGAGTTGGTGGAGACCAAAACAGAGCAAAAAGGAGAATGAGAATACATTCAGGGGGCCAGAAAAAACAGGACACAAAATGTGTTACAAATGCTAGCATGTTAGCCACACAATAACAAGTCTATAAGGTAGTAATATGTCATACTGATAGGATGATAATGTATGTTAATTACGCACACATATGCATGCACTTATGGACGTTCCTGCGACCCTCCTGTCACCCTCCCCCCACAGATGAGAATGTGGAGTATTTCACAAAGCTACAGGACCTGGTTGAGGAGATGTACGAGCAGTACCAGAAGCCCGTCTACCTGCTGGGACACAGCATGGGCTCCCACTACGTCCTCTACTTCCTCAACCACCAGCCTCAGGCCTGGAAGGACAAGTACATCAGGGGCTTCATTTCCCTGGCGGCTCCATGGGGGGGTGCTGTTAAACCACTTAGAGTCCTGGTGTCAGGTACGGGCAACGTACTTACGATAGAATACAGTACAATAGAAGAGGCTGCTAACGTTTTGTATTTTTTGTTATCTACATTAGTACCTCTCAGGGCAGGGTCAACTTTGAAACAACCAACAAAATGTACGTTCTCAAATTTGCACCTGCAACTGTGATTAATTAAGCCCACCTATATTTTTTCCTGGACATTGCAGGAGAAAACGACGGCATCCCGATGATTTCCAACATCAAGATCCGCGAGGAGCAGAGGATGACAACGACTAATCCCTGGATGCTGCCATTTGACACAGTCTGGCCAAAGGACCACGTGTTCATCTCCACACCGACCTTCAACTACACTAACCGGGACTACCAGCGCCTCTTCACGGACATCAACTATGAGGACGGCTGGTAACCTAACAGCTATGTTGTAACACAGCCTTCCCATCAATCACCCACCTCCATTTTAGATGCACTATATTCCTGACAATCCAACTGCTTTGGAAATTTTTAATGATTTAAAGGTGACTAAATCATAGCAGTATGATCAGTTGTGCCACTTAAGACGCATGAGAACCTAGTCAGTTATGTAATTGACAACTTTGGGAGCAGATAAGTATGGAGGTTCTACATTACATGTTCCGCCTTCATGAAAGACAATATACAGGACACGGCAGTGTTTCACTGAGGTTGCATACACACGTTATTGAGAGGAATAACTGGCAATGATAGAAACTATTCAAAGCCCCATATTGTAGAAAGTGATACGGCTTAAAGAGACAGGCGCTAAAAACGGATCGTTTCAGACAGGGAGTGAATACAGGTATATTCAGGCAGACAGCATGAGGAAAACAAAGTGGCTTTTTGAACATTAAAGCATGGAAACATCTTCAAGTAGAGATGCTAAATACAAGTACGAACCTGGAAATGAGCATGATGTGTGACCTTTAAAGCCCCTCCCCCATGTGTAGAATTTAGAGCAACAATTTATATCTGACATATAAAGTAGCGGCTTTAAACCTGCAATAACAGATTTTTTTTTAGGCTCCAGAGGGGGCTGTGTGAAATCTGACAGGTTGCCTCAAGCGATGTCACTGGAGTCAGTTGGTAGGGGCGGAGGACTACAGGTTTAAAAATGTCAAAATCTGATGGTCCAGCAGTGTTTTAAGATTGCGGTGATAAATCAGTGGAGTACTCATAGAGGAGCTGAGGGGAGCTGCAGAGTCCACCACTACGAACCAACCCTTTCACAAGTAGCCATGTGACTCGCTATTAACATGAAAACATTGGTTATAATTGCTTTAAAGTGTTGGTTCTTGTTCCACTCCATTTCACAACCCCCATCATCCTCTTGTTGGTTCCAGGCACATGTGGGAGGACACCAAGAACCTGACCAGTGATCTCCACCCACCTGGTGTCGAGGTGTGGTGCATGTATGGCGTGGGGCTTCCAACTCCGGTGACATACATTTACGACGAGGAGTTTCCCAACGTGGACCCGGTGGACTTTGTTTACGCCGACGGGGACAACACGGTGGACAGCTTCAGCATGGGCCTCTGCAAGCTTTGGGAGGGTCAGCAGGAGAAGCCCGTCCATGTCACAAAGTACCGAGGGTTGGCCCACCTGGACATAGTGTTCAATGAACAGGTGCTCAACCAAATCCAGCATATCATGGAGGGCAAATCAGAGACGCCCAACGAGATTGACGTCCGATTTAGAACTAAATAGAAGGCAACAGCATCTAAGAGTTATAAGATTTAAAAAAAAACACATGGGAGAGCTGGATTCTTTACATAGCTGACTTTTGAAAGTTATGTGAAAAAACACATTCCACATACGTCCACCATTTATTAGCGTTAAGTAAGTGTTCTAAACCAATCTGGGCCAGCAACGGATCTAACCTCAACTGCTGATGGCTTCCAGTGTGGGTTTGACCCTGATTTGTTTATTTTAATATCCAAGCACGATAATTACAAATATTTTGTTTTTTTACTGATGGTTCATTTAATGTTATATTTTTCTCGCAGTCCATTCAGGCAACTTCAGATAGTGTTACACGGTACATCTTCTCAAAAATACACAATCCTGCTGTTTACTTTTGATGGATGGATGATCATTATTATTTCCAAAGTGCCCACTCACCTAATAACACATATTTATCATATTCCATGGGTAGTTAGAGCGTGACTGTAATGAAAGGGTTATAGGGACCTCACCAGTAGCCCTTTTTTACTGTATAGGATGTATCTGTAATATTTCTATTAGGATTTATATATTTTTATCTGTATGAAATATTTTTGAACAAAATATAAGACTAATATACAGCAGTTTATATATGAATGCATACTCTTCTGTGAATGCCAAATGTATTTGAATGTTTCCACTTATAATAAAGCATCTGATTTCACAAAAGCCACGCGTGTGAACTGATCAGCGGTAGCGTTCGAATCCAGCACTGTGTGTCAAACTTCGATCTCGCTCTGCGGCCGCCCGACTACATCTGCGGTCGATGACTTTTGACTTGATTGCGGAAGTTGCGTTCGCCGGGTGGATCGTTCCGTAATCTGGACCTCGTGATCATCCCCTTTTTATTCACCTGATCATCCTCAGCAGCGGTTAGATTGTGGCAGATCCGATCCAGAGGGAAACCATAAAGACTCCGGCAGACCTTCACACAACACCGAGGAGGAGACCATGTCTCTGCCATGAGACATCTGGAGCCATGGTGGCTTGGCCACGCGTAACCGCCCTCTCTTCGCTGCTCCGGGTCGGCTTGTTGTTGTTGTTGTTGTTGTTGTTGTTGTTTTCGACTCGGAGCAGCGGGAGACCGCAGGACAAATGTCTCGGGGACAAGTCTCGTCAGCCCACGAGACCCCCCGTGGTTCTCAGTAAGTGTTTTCTTCTCTTCAGTGTTCGTAGTCTGCTGTCTACTGCTAAATAATTGCCGCACATCAACAGCTAGCTACGGTGGACGATATTCAAGTTAGGCCAAACTCCCTCCAGAATGTAACGCATTTAAGATCTCTTTGCATGTCGCATACGGCGTAGAGAGCTCAAAGTGAATCTCGACACCTTTTAAAATTAGGCTAGTGTTTTGGCAATTCGGCTACAAAATATTCATCCTGTTTGTGAATACGTAGTTTATATTTCAACTTTTCTAAATGTTTGGCCCGACGGTCCTATCGTCTTCTTCCACCAAAACACGCAGCCATTGGTCGCAGAGAGTGGAAGCATCAGGTACTGTGTCGAATATTATTTGAAGAAAATAACGAATTTAAGTAATGTGTTTGTGCCGTATCGAAAACAAGCTCCAATCGATAAAGAAAATGTATTTGTTCATCGTTTGTTGATGATTTAATGTCGCTTTCAATGAAGGCATTTAAATATGCTGTGTTTGTCAACGGAGTTTGGCAGCGCATCGTCAGGAAAAAGGAACTCCGATATCGATGATTTTCCGAAAGAAAATGCCCTTATTACCTCACCAGTGTTGACATGTATTGGCGAGATTAGTAAACATGTGTTTGAACGTGTGTGTGTGTATGTTCGTGTTACGGTATCTTTTTTTTTTTTTTTTGTTTTTTTTTTTTAAATTTACAGCCAGAGCAGTGTAACGACTCTGATCATATGACTATTGGCAACAGAAGATGACTCTCTATTACAGCCAAGCTCCCATAACACTGACAAGGTCTCGGTCTAGACTTTTCTATAATAATAATAATAATAACTTTAAATTTATTTAAATAGCACCTTTTTAAAAACAGAGTTTATAAAGTGCTTTGACAGACAATAATAACAATAACAGAAAGCTCAGTGAGACAGTCGATACGATTTAAAAAAACAACTAAGAAATAAATACAATTTTGTAAAATCAACAAATAAAAATCAAACGAAGACATCACATAAAAGCCAGTCTGTAAAATGTGTTTTAAGAAGTGATTTTAAAAGAGAATACTGATTCTGCGAGCCTTATCTTTTCTAGACTGTTTAATCCTAAAAACAAAGTTTTGTAAACTTTTATATGAATTTCAATTCACAATCCAGGTTATGAGCTATGACATAATACCTATTAACAGTTTATGAAGCCGCAATTCCTTTTTCTTCTTCATACTTATATTAAAGGGTCTTGGGTTCAGGGGATTGTTATCCGTGTTTGGCCGAGTTACAAACACATCCTCTGATAGGAGTCCGTGTACAGCTGCTTGACCTACAGTGAACTCTTGCCAGTGTTCTGCCAGTGTGTGTGTGTGTCCGTGTGTGTTTCTGAGAAAAGCAAATACAACAACATTGGATAAGAAAGTGCAATGGCTTGCGTGTGCTAAATGTGCTCCTGCCACTATGGTATATAGGTATCTGCATTAACAGTATGTCATTTTGGACACATTGCCGACGTGCTTCTCATTGTTAATGTTGCAAATGTTGCAGTTCCGGGGGATCTGGGCAACCAGTTGGAGGCGAAGCTGGACAAACCCAGTGTGGTCCATTACATCTGCTATAAGAAGACCGACTCCTTCTTCACTCTGTGGCTCAATGTAGAGCTGCTGGTCCCCATAGCCATAGACTGTTGGGTGGACAACATCAGGTATTATGTTAATAATGATAAATTATGACATGGGTTTATGATGCTTTTTTTCAAATGTTATTGCTGTGTGAATTTGTGTGAAGAGATTAACTATTATTTAGAGGCAATGGCGATTAAATAGGTTAAGATATCTCGCCCTTGCTGTTTTTTTAAATTACATTTTTTTGTGGGGGGGGGGCGCTTGATTTTTGTAAAAAACAAACAAGCTGCGGTGCAAAATCCAAAAGTGCAAATTCCTGGAGGTGTTGTCTGTACAGGATAAGGGAGTTGGGATGATCGGGTCGATGATCTGGTTGGCTTTGTGTGAACAGTTATCGAACCTACATTGGAAATACTGACTTTTGAACCATGTATCAGTGAGGTATGGATGGAAATATAGGGGGAGATAGCATCCCTTTAACATCTCCATCAGCAATTAACTGAAACATACGTAGAGCTCAGACCTTGAGTAAGCCTGTTTCAGCCATTCAGCTTATCACGTCGTTGCATGCTTTGTTAGTCCTTTACTGCAACAAAAATCCTGTGATGTTCAGAAATTAGATGATTGAGGAGAGACATTTTGCAATAATTATTGCTCTTGTGGTTTTTTACTTATCCAGGCTAGCATGTATCGTCCAGATGAAATGACTCCGTTAGTTCTCATCTCTAGAACTCTGAACTTCTTAAACTGCAGCAAGAGAATTGATTTGTTAATCTTGGATCAAGTTATCCTGACTAATGCTAATATTGTGTAGCAAAGGCAACATGATGAGATGACTCGTATAACTGGCCGATCATGTGATGGCCACTCATGTGACTGGCTCGCATGGCATCGTGGCCACAAACAACACATTTTGTCATGCAGATGCACAATAGTTAATTTAGAGATCAGAAAAGGAACTCTTAACTTAAGGTAGTACAAAACCAGAGATTAGATTCAGCAAAGTTCAGTTTTCTATCTGATTTTAAATCATTTACCTAAGATTTATAAAACTGCCTCCAATTTAAAATCAGTTGTTTCATTCCAAGTGTATAGAGCACTCACGATGGAAGTACATTTCCTACGTTTTAGTTGTTTATCAGGTTAATCTTATAAAGTCTCATGAATCAGCTAATTGTTAATAAAGGGCACTTTTGCAACTGTGGGCATAAAGCTAGCTTATGTAAGTTAAAGCTAGCTTATGTAAACTTATGCTAACGTAATGCTAGCTTATGTAAATTCAGCCAAACAGTGGCCACCATGTCCATGCAGGACATTTACAGGACAATGGTAAAGACAATGAAGAAGTAAAGACAATGCATTGAGTCGGCAAATTCCCTCAGTAGTGTCAGTTACGCAGAAATTATCATTCTAAAGTTAGCCAACATTAGCCACCATAATTTACCAGTCATGCCAGACCATTACTAAATGGGTCCGTCATGTGTTAATGGATTTTGTAACTCCTGTCATCATTATTCTTGATTTATTTGTATTTTTTTATTTGGAGGATAATCATGCTCTTAAGTTTTGAAATTGCAGTTCCAATAATATGTGGGGTTGTAAACAGGTTGAACATTGCCTTGGAGTCACTGGATAATGTGGATACTGGCGGGAACTGAAAAGTGTGATGTGATTCTGTAGTTTGCACTTCTAATGTGTGGGAAGTAAATTTATGGAAGTGAATTTATGGAGGTACATTTGAAATGGTCACTGGAAATAAAACACACAGGTGCGATTTGACTTGAGTTATGACTCCGCAAATGTGTTCAACGCAAATTGCAGGCTCTGGAAGTAATTTCTCCTCCCGCCGCCCTCCCCCTTCAACTCTCCTGCACCCAAATAAAGAAAATATACTCGTTACCTAGACCACTACTACTTAAGCTAGACTACTGGAATGATGACACGAGTCATGCTACAGGTTTGTTCACGTTTACTGGAGGAGCGCCAGGCTAAATGGGCACGGCACAGGTGTGACCGACCGAGTCAGTTTGAGTTGAACTTTCTGGTACATAAGGGAAGGAATTAATATCTTCACTATCTTTTAAAAATAGCCAAGATCCAGTTAGAGCACATATCCATCAACCATTAATAATAGCTTTGGTAAAATAAAATCTAGATTTCCTTGTAGTTTGAAAGTATTTTCCTGCAAATGTTCACTTCTGCTTGGCAAACCCAGACATCTGCGCTCACATCTGCATTTGAGTTTTAGAGTTAGGGAAGTTGTAACTAACAAGGTGGTGAGACGATGGTGATTTCAAATGGGAAGTGGTCCTGTTGCCACGTAGTAAAATATATGACGTCTGTGTGGTTCACCTCGGATGCAGAACTGACACTGATCAAATTCTCCTTGTGACAATTTGTGTGTGTGTGCGTGTGCGTGTGTGCGCAGGCTGATCTACAACAGGACCACACACACCACCTCGTCCCCGTCCGGTGTGGAAATCCGTGTCCCGGGGTTCGGACAGACCTTTACGTTGGAGTATCTGGACCCCAGCAAACGCAGTGTGGGTGAGTTAAAAAGCCCCCCCAAAACCAAACAGCTCTTTAGAGGAGTGAGAGCAAGCTGTCCTCACTATCTCCAGGACTAAATGGGTCCTCACAAAGATAGACAAACAGGAATCGGATACCGCTTATGTGTCGTTCTTCTCTTGTGTTTGTGTGTGTCTCCCAGGCATGTATTTCTTCACTGTAGTGCAGGAGCTGGTCGAGTGGGGCTACACCAGAAACGATGACGTCAGAGGAGCTCCCTATGATTGGAGGAAAGCCCCCAGTAAGCAACTGCGCGCACACACACACACACACACACACTCGCGTTCACCCCTGAGCCGTCGTCCTCACCCATAAATGACGAGCCCTTGCCTGTGCATCCCTAAAATAAACCTTTTCGTTCTTACGGTTTTCACAAGTCTGGTAAGATGATGTCACTACTACGTTCGTGTAGCTGTTCCTTTCATCCGGACAGAAGTAAGAGTACAAAGTACTGGAACGTTTACAACATGGGACACGCAGAAACGGCTGCATTTCTGTTTCTAATTAAGCATTTAAAGGGTCGATGACTTGACAGTGGGACAGCCTTAAACCCTCACGGACTTTATGGGAGCGCGCTTCAAAGTCTGTCAGTCCGTGAGTGTGGAGATTGGGATCGGGCTAATGAATATCTAAAGCCATTTAATGCTTTTATGGCTGGAAACACACAGAGTTCCATCGCTTTTATTTTGAAAGGCGTGTTCTGGGAATTGAAATAGGGATGCATAACCAGGGAAAGTTGTTGAAATATTCTCTATCAGACACATGTTTCAACTAGTCCGCTCCTGTTACAGCCTTCTATCTCAAAACCAGGAAGGAATTAAACGTTGAGTCTTGGAAGCTTTCCAATCGAGTAATGGAATTACAGGGAATTCCACAGCAGGACCAGAGGGGGAATATTGTTGACCCATTTTCTCTGTTGCTCTCTCGTCCTCTATCAGATGAGAATAAGGAGTACTTCCTGGCACTGCAGCAGATGATTGAAGAGATGGCGGAGAAGGCTGGCGGGCCCGTGGTGCTCATCGCTCACAGCATGGGCAACTTGTACACCTTGTACTTCCTCAACCAGCAGCCACAGGCCTGGAAAGACAGATACATCAAAGCTTTCATTGCTCTGGGACCGCCGTGGGCAGGCGTGGCCAAGACCATCCGTGTGATTACCTCTGGTAAGAGATGGAGCCGGTATTATGGAGGCATTTTGCGTGCCTATGTACCGGGTCTAACGCGCTTCATGTTTTGTAAAAGATGACAAAACGCTCCCTGCCTTCCTTGGAAAAGTCCAGAATGAAATGATGAGAGCATAATGAGCACTCAGAAATGGTTAGTTTTTATGCCTCTGCATCGGTGGCCGTGGAGGCATTTTGTTTATGGGTTGTCTGTCCGTCTGTCCCGTCCTAGTGGACACGGTATCTCAGGAACGCCTTCAAAATTGGCACAAATTTAACAAGGGGCTAAATGAGACTACAGGATGTGATCACGCCGTGCTCATGCGACCGTGGTGTAGTTTGTTTTTGTTCATTTGTGAAGACTATCTTGCCGAACAAAACGCGTGTGTGTCATAAACGTGTTTTGGTCTTACGCTGCTAATTGCTCCACTATGTTCACCGGCTAGTTGCTAACTTTTTCAGTGTGCTGTATGGTAGGTTTATCAGAGCTTTTCGACTATAAAAAGGCTGCCTGCTGCAGCTGCTGATATTTAAGTGGTTGCCGTGATAACCCCAACAAATTAGCTAAAAGACGCTAAAATGATTTATAGAGCTTAGGGGAGCTACAGAGTGATGCTGCTCCGTGAAGATTAGTGGTTCGATCACCCAGTCCATCGTTGCTCCTGAAGGCGGTGCCTACAGGCTCCGTAGGCTGCGTGTGAATGGTTTGTCCTGAAGGGCAAACACACACACACACACATCAGTGTATGAATGGGTTTGTGAAAGGGAGAATGATACGTAGCGTTATAGCGCCTCGAACTCTTAAGAATGTGCCGATTTTAATGGTGTCGCGTTACATCTACGCCATGCAGCAAAGTCCCTCCAAGTTTTCAGTCATCTTTGGGCGGCCATCGAGTTAGACGAGTGCAATTTTAAAGGATGCAACTGGGACAGCTTGTGTAATAATGTGCAGGAACTATTCTCATCTACACTTTGTTCATCTATTTCTCTATGTTCCTGGCGCGCTTTCAAACGATAAACGGTACCGTGCAATACTTTACACTGTACATTTGTGAGTCATGCGTTTCAGGTACGTCTCACAGGACTTTAGATGCCACACAGTGAAACCTCTCCTCGCTGTTTTTTGGGTCTGCGGCTGGAAATTCTCAGCTTTGTTTCAGTTCTCTGTCACCAGTTTCTTTTCTCTACCTACAGGTGATAATAACCGCATCCCAGTGATCAGCTCGTTGAAGATTCGCGCCCAACAACGTAGTGCTGTCACGACTTCCTGGATGCTCCCCTATGCCCACTCCTGGCCCAAAGATCAGGTGTGTGTGTGTGTGTGTGTGTGTGTGTGTGTGTGTGTGTGTGTGTG